AAGGTTACAAGGGCAACAATATGAACTTCAATTCTCATAGGTGATTTTTAGGCTGAAATGCAACACTTTTCCATAGCTTACTCACTTTCATATCTGGTACAACTATTAAAAAAAATAATAGAAAAATTCACTTCATTCTCACCGATCTTTTCTTCCACAATATCGGTTATTAACGTAAAGCACTAGTCTACGTTTCTTCAAAGTTCTTAGGCTACAGTGACAGATGCTTAGACTATATGGGATAAAAAGGTGATCCGTAAAAGGTAGAACCCAACTTTCCATATCTAAAAACGAATCTAGAAAGTGAATCATACAGACTCAGAAGAAAAACAAACATAAAGTATGAAATCGTAGCACATTTATAAATATGAACGCTAAATGATATTCCCCTGAATCTTAAATAGTTTCATGCAGTATAGCATAAAAAGTCTTATTTTCTTGAATACTGGATGACAGTCATGTTTCTAACTAACAATTAATATGTACATCAGGTGCTATCAACTCCAACACCCCAGACGAAAAGTAGAGAGAAACAAAACTTGTCTGGATGAGAACCATTAATGTCTTTGAAAATACTGATGATAACCCGAAACTGTATAACTTGGCTTGCATTTAAATAGATTCGTCTGAAGAAATTCCTACAAATTTTATGCTGGTTAACCCTCTGGTCACTTTGGAATTTGGATGCATTTTCTCGACTATGTGATCCTCATATAGAAGAAAACAGAGAGCTTATCTTAGAAATACATGCTTTACAGCTTGATGAATGCGGATTTTCGTGGGTTATTGGAGTCCATTTGCAATTTGGTTAGCTTTCAGGTGACCTATTAATGTATGAGTTGAGTTTGGACACGGTGATAGTTTATAACTGAGTTAATCCGTATAGTGTAAAGTGAAATAGTATTAATTAGTGGATACAGTTTCTGATGAAATTCTATGTTGTTAATCAAATAAGGCGGTTTATTATCATCAGATTTTGCCAATCCATTTCATCGTTCCTGCTACGGTCCTACACCAGTATCTACAAGATATTCTGGGAGGCTAATGCACCGTAAAATGACGCTTTGAAATGTGTATGTTCCGTATTACGTCTATACACATCGTCTAATTTTTACTCTTGTAAACTGTTAGGCGTTAATAATCACATTTATCGACACGGATTATCTGCATTATTAGTTCAGAAAACAACGTAGCAGACGTACGTTATCCAGATCGACAACTGATTGGATACTAAGAAGTGATTTCGGCAAAAAATTTTCCACAGACACCATTAACTGCCGTAAATAACCACTTTATACGCTAATGAATATGTACGGTACGATCGTTTGATAGTGGGTGGTGAACAGTGACTCTCGCTAAGTGTAGCTCGGACTTTAAAGCAGCTGCTACAGACTACATGTTTCTGTTGTTTGTTGCAGTGAAGTACCGCATAAACAATGTTGCTTAGACTTCAAGGAATACCTGAATTGCAAAGTGATCAGTTATACAGTTGCTCTTGTATCTTATCCAGATATGTCATAAAGAAGTTTTCCTTTCCGTTAAACTTCTCAAACGATGTCAACTAATTTCACCAGTAGTCTAAAGCATAACTCTATGCACGAGATTAACAGTCATTTAGAAAATGAAATCCATTGAGTTTTATATTCGTCATTTATCTGGGTTTGTCCTGAGGTAAATTTGAGCACAATTACTGGCAGAAATGGAAAATATGAACCACTGGATTCCGACCCAGTGGCTTAATGGTAACTTGCTGGCCATGGAACCTGCAAGTCCTAAGTTCGATCCCTAGCGGTGTCGTGGGTACGCACTGCTGAGTAGTCCCATACAAGAACGAAACAGCTGTTCAGTGCTCCCAGGTTTCCAGTGTTTTCCCAACTGATGTCATTCCATGATGAATACCAAATTGAAACCTATAAATTTCCCTCCCAAATTGAAATAATTACTGTACTTATAACGATTATAAACCCGTTTATTGTAAATATGCTGTTGGAAGGAAAACAGTCAGTAGATTTGTACAACTAGTTTTATTTAAATAATATCTGTTTGATAACAGTTTTCACTAAGCTTTGAAAGATTTCGAATTCGGTTTTGCTGAATCATTTAATGTATCTGTTACCTTCTGTTTACCGATTTGAGAGTTATACTTTTACACCTCTCAGTAGACATTTATGTTTTTCTTCAAGGAATGATGACGCTACTTACTAAGAAGTAAAAGCTTCAAAATGTCTGAAATATTAGTTAGATAATATATTCCATGGCCACCTGATAACACAAGTCTTCTATGACTTTTTTCCAGAATGTCTCTATGCATAGTATAGTTCATTTTGCGTTCTCATGAAGTAGGTTTAGATGCCTATGCACTCACTGTCCATAATCTAAGCTTGTTTATAAATCAGTGCTCAAAAAGAATTTTCCTTCAATGTCACTTTATTTGACGATTAAACGGAATGTTTCCTGACACAGGAAAAAATATTTTTGTCATGTGCCTTTGTTGGTGATAGTACTCAGCTACATGTTGTACACACCTAACTTAATGAAAGTCAGTATATTACCTCAGGCCGATAGAACCAAGTAACACTACGGTATTTTTTCTAATGGTAGGATTGAAAAATATTCTTTTCACAACAGATTTTCAAAGATTACAAAGATAAGAGAATCAGGCAAGTGTGAATCGTCTTTCCGATGAGAGCCATACTGTAAAAAATAATGGTGCCTGCTGATGATATGATTCACTGTAATTCCATCTAAACATATAATAAGCTGAAATTCCATGTACTAAAAAACTTCCAGTTACAAGAAAGCTTGAGGCCATATTTCATTCAAGTTTACCAGAGTTGTGAGGTATTCATGAATTCTTACTGAATTCTAGTTACAACTATGCTCTCAACTATTTTAGAATCTATCTACTGTCTAAAATTCTATTTATGCATACTTGGTGAGAAGTTGAGGTGTAGAAATACCCAATTTTATGAATATGAAGTGAGTGTCCAATTTGAAGGTATCCTGACCAACAATGGACAGGATGATTTGAAAAACCTAGGGCACCGAGTATGATTCATTTTACAAGGTGTATTTTTGCTTGTGTAATCCCAGCGTACTACATTAGAACAAATAACAAAATAAACAAATATTTTGCATTATTCCTCAACGTTTCGATCTTGCTAGGAAGATCCTCTTCAAGAGTATGAATCTGGCATTAAGTTTTCAGGTTAATATTCAAGTTTTGGTACAGAAGATGGTAACCTTTACGATCATCCGATTACATGGTGATATGGAGCAAAGATCAATGCAATAGAGGTGAGTGAATAAGCAAAAGGATTTTCCTAGCAAGATCGAAACATTGAGGAATAATACAAAATATCTGTTTATTTTGTTATTTGTTGTAATATACTACGCCGAGATTACACCAGTAAAAATACACCTTATACGATGAGTCAATGTCTAATTATTTGTGCATTCTTTCTCTTTGCACTGATTTGAAATGTGAAAACTGCAACTAATAGGTAGTCATGCCCAGTGTTATGCTGCTTTGTCATTACGCAGATGTTGAACACAATACATACTAGGTGAGTCTCAGTTGAGCTAACTATTTGAGGAGTATTTCTTTTCTCTTTTAACATTTTGATTGAGACATCATAATTTTGTCGAATAATTCACCGGATATGAAATAATCCTAATACATTTGTTGGGTTCGTTATAAGCATTCATACCTGCTTGGTTCATTGCGTAATCCCCCATTTTTGTTATTCTGATTGTTGATAAGAGGTAATAATGTTTGATTTAGGGGTCTGTGGGGAATTAGTAATTTTCTCAAGTTGGTTTTCATCATGGACTGACATCAGTTGGAGAAACATTGGAAACCTGGGAGCGCTGGACAGCTGCTTCATTTTAGTGTGGGGCTCCTCAGCAGTGCGCACCCATGACCCAGCCGCTCAAGGGATCGAACCAAGGACCTTAAGGTTCCATGGCCAGTACGCTGCCACTGGATCGAGATCCAGTGGTCCATATTTTGCAACCTCTATCAGTTCACGACATAGTACGGCCATCACCCAATGTCACCGCTGAGTATTTATCCTCACGGACGCCAGCTTTGCCCCATTGGGCACGGCTTCTCACTGGAACTTCAGGAATCACCTTTCGAAGCTAGCCACCAATGGGCACTAGATCCCTAGCTGGGCCAAGGGTACGCACTGTTGAGGAGTCCCATACAAGGACGAAACACCTGTCCAGTGCTCCTAGGTTTCCAATGTTTTTCCAACTTATGTCAGTCCATGATGAATACCAACTTGAAAAAATGTTTGTTGCACAAGAAAGTGGAGACTTGTGTTTTTCAATTTAATTTACAAATACTATTCTGATTACTTGTCAAACTACCTTAGACAGCCTTAGTTTGGTAAACTTACATGAATGAAGATCGACATTTGCAGTTCAAATGAAAACTTGAGTCTTACTAATCCTAGTTTATCATATCACAGCCATCTTGAATAGTCTTGCCACTTGAATTCTATATAATTTTAGGATTCTGCACAAAGAGACACAAGAGGCAAGATGGACGTGTGAAGAGCAAAACGAGATGAAAAGAGAAGAAGAAACGAAACACATTGTGCAAATGAATATTTCAATGGAAAAGTTACAATATTTCATCAGTAATTACGGTGTCATTATAAACATTCTTATGTGTTGCATCGTTTACCGTTTGGGATAGTAAACAAATCAAAAGTGCTGGATGAATCTTTTATACTGTGACGAAACCCTGATAACTGTATACTAATTCGATTACATCATTTTTTTCTCCTCAATTACTAATTCCACATCACAATTTCTTTGCTGCCTTATAAATATCGCAATGATGGTAAATGTGAATAAAAAATCCAAACTCATGGTATGTTCATGAGAAGTAATTTTGATCGAAAATTTATTATTTATTACTGTGGATAAACTTGTGAATACAAATTTATATATATATATATATATATATATATATATATATATATAATGTACAAACTTCTCATTGATATATATGTGAAACATTATGCTAAGAAAATGTGAAAAACAAAAAATACAAAATATAAAAGGATGCAAAATAATTAATAGTGTACAAAGTATAGTGTTAACGCCTGTATTACACCGTCGTTGACTGGACCGAATTGATCAGTCTCTGTTGGCATATGGGCTCCTATACGGATGCCTGTCTTTTAACTATGTTTTGTAGTGATGGGCAGTGGCTAGCAGTGGAATCCAGGATGCGCGTTTCGTCCTATTTGGGACTCGTCAGCTGGATGTACCTGCTTCCCAGTGAGTGATGTTGTTCCCACCGGGACATCCAGCTGACGAGTCCTAAATAGGACGAAATGCGCATCCTGGATTCCACTGCTAGCCACTGCCCATTATTACTAAACATAGTGTACAAAGTACTTGAGGCTAACAATAAAAAAGAAACACAAGATTATGAGATAAGAGACTGGGCCTTGGTTAATAAACCTTTCAAGTTTCGTTTCGCTTTTTTCAACAAATGAGAACAACTCCCATGATACTTTTCAAGATAAGAAATAAGACGTTTACATTCGTGAACACAAAAAAGTAATGAGGCGAACTCATTTACACTCTTGAAAGGAGGAAGATATTCAATAGACTTTGACATACTTATAATCCGTACACTCAGATCACAAGAAAAAGATTTACCTTGACAGATATGTTTAAAAGCATGACTTACACAGAAATGACTAAAGTCTGTCACCCAAGAAGTTAATGACTGGTGTACAGTTTTCATTTGATGCTTACGCTTCATACCAGGCTGACAAACTATTTTCTCAAATGATGGAGTTTTAGTGAAAGTACGCTTACAAAAGCTACACATTACAGAAAAAATGTAATGATGAGAATTTAATGCATTTTTACTCTTCTGCATAAACATAAAAGGTGATTTACAGTGCGTAGAATGAATCCAATGATTTGTAATTGCTTCAGCAGTACAAAATTTTCTTTGACAATCACAGCATACTTGTGATTGCTTAATATTCAAATTGTGCACAACCAACACCTTTCCGTAAGTGAAGAGAAGTTCATTGTTTGAATGTTGTGAATGGTGATGATAAGCACACATAAGCTAAAAAGGAAATTATTACGGAAAAAAGGATGAATATATACTCAGTGACTGTGTCTATACAGAAGAATAAAATAGGTGAGAAATGAGACAATCCCATTCAACCTATGAATGAAAAGGTAAGGTATACTAAGATGAGCAACTAGTCATTAGCGTTACTTTACAATTGACTGACTTGAGATAATACCATACGTGCTGTAAAGTTGAAACCAGTAGTGATGCTGTAGCCTTCTTTTTCCGTTTAGTATTGAAAACTAGTGAATGCCTCCTTAAATGGATCTTTGGGCCTGCTTCTCTAATAAACCATCTCTACTTTTGTTTTCATGCTTTCAGCTCCTTTTTTATAGCAGCCTTTTGTCTCATTATTTTTGCTGTAATATTTTGTATGACACATCTCTAGATGCTCCTTTGTACCAGGTTTGTGTTTTAAATAGAATAAACAACATTAAAAATTCACAAATAGAAGGGAAGGACACTGAGAGATGAACTCAGAAGTCTTTTGCACATTCATACAGTAGGGAATGAGCCACATCTAGTGAGTGAGGGCTAATGGTAATACTTGTCTGCCCAAACCTCGGTAGATGGAGTATTGTTCTAACCCGTGACCCACTGGTTGAAAGTCAACTCCCTAAACCAATGAGCCACGGCTCCACAAGGACACCGATAGACAGCTGATCGAAAAGTCCCTATCTGAATATTCGTTCTACATGATAGTGGATAAATCTAGAGCCTTGAAGAATTCCAGATCTCCATAGATTATTCAGAACAAGAATAATTTGAGCGAACATTTGTTTTCAAGAACTTCTTCTTCAGGCTCTACAGTTATGAATCCATGAGAATAAGTGAAACACAACAGCACGATGTACAATTTTTACCACAGTGAAATATTCAGTGTTATGAATGAATGGAGATCCAATCGAATGGAATGGTGGAACCATTATCAGTCGAGTGTTAGTCGCGCAATGAAATCAGTATCGACAGGACAATTACGAAATGAGGAGATAAAATCTACAGATGATTCAGTAATTCCCATTATAATGTGAAGAACAAGATATTCAGTGAAGAGACCCTTTTCAATGAATTTATTTTCAAGCTGTACAATCGTATACATATGATATTTCAGAAATTATATCCCGTGAGGAAAACTAAACACTATACGATGATGGCGATAATAATAATAATAATAGAGTAGATGATCGATCTACCACTTTTATCAATTTTTTCACTCCCTTCTTAGTTATATACTTTCTATGAACCATTCCATACATTATGTAATCTACTCTGTTATCATTCACACTTCAATTGCTATCATAATCACAAATACCTATGTCATCATCCGCTCTATTATTAATATTATTATTATATATTGTTTAGTTTTCCTCACGGGATATAATTTCTCAAATATCATATGTATACGATTGTACAGCTTGAAAATACATTCATTGAAAAGAGTTTGTTCGCTGAATAACTTGTTCTAGATAATTATTTATTTATGTACATTTACCGGGTCATGTGCGTGTGTGTGTTTGTTTACTAAGGGTCAAATAATAATTAAGTAGTGATGAATTCTATTTAAGTGAGACGAAAATCATGTGAATACTATGACGTAATAATCTCGCCTGGTCAACTAGTACACTAGTTACTAGCCGGTCCTAAGCCCAGATAAAAAGCGAAGCTTGGGCGTAGGGCTAGCAACCCTACCCCGTAAAACCAATCCAATCGCTAAAGAAACTTCAAAGCACAAAGAAAATATAAAAAATAAAAACAAACTTATTCATCGCTGGAATCGGGGGGACGAAATGACCCCGGTCGGTGAATCCCTTCGGGAAGCCAATTGGCCAATATGTCTTCTCTTTTCTGGACAAAAGCAAAAGCTAAGCATAGGGACATAGAATGCAAAAGAAATGAGAAGATATGAAATAAAAGTACTAGGTCAGGAATCTGTGAAAGCGGATGGAATGGAAGAGGACTCTCCAAACTGTCAACCGGAGAGTCAATAATCTACTCCGGTCATCCAGACGACAACCATGAGCACACTGAGGGAGTAGCTATCATTATGTCCCCAACAGCATCGAAGGCTCTCATACAGTGGGAAACAGTGTACTGCAGGATCATGACAGCAACGTTCAACTCAAAAGGAAGGAAAGTCACAATCGTAAAACGCTACGCTGCTCACCTACAAATAATGCAGATGAAGAGAAGGAGGAATTCAACAGACAACTGTAATTAGTAGTGGACAAGACCCCATCCCAGTTGGTTACATAAAAATTCTAATTCGTGCGGTGACATGAATGTCAAACTGGGAGTAGACAACACAGGAAGAGAAGTCATGACGGGTCGAGAGGCACTCGGTGAAATGATGAGTGCGAATGGAGAACTGTTTGCAGATTCCTGCGCATTCAACGATTTACATGGTGTATACAAACACAAGGACATTCACAAAGGGACACGGATTTCACCGGATGGATACACTAGAAATCACATCGACTTCATCTCAATCTCAAGAAAGTGGAGAGGCAGCCTGCTGAACACAAGATCAAGAAGAGGAGCCGATGTAGGTTCAGACCACCATCTAGTGCAACGAACCTTCGAAATCAAGTTGGAAGCCCAGAAAGAAATTGGCGATAGACCACAGTTCAAGTCCAACACCCAGAACACAAACTGAACTGAAGGACGAAACTACAAAGGACATCTTCACGTCACCCATCAGGACAAAATAGGAAGCATTGGACAACATCCCTGAAAGAACCTCTGTGGAACAACACCGGAACTCTTTGAAAGAGATGTTGAAAGAAGCCTGCTTAACCGTATTAGGAAGGAAGAGGAAACAAGACAAGTGATGGATATCGAAGGACACATGGAAGCTGATAGAGCAGGGAGAGGAAGATGGTGAAGCAGATGAACCAGTGCAAGAATGCACAACGAAAAGAAGAACTGAGTACAACATGGAAAACACTGGACAAAGAAGTGAAGAAGGGTGCACACAAAGACAAAAGACACTTCTACGACACACTGGCAAGTGAAGCAGAACAGGCTGCTAATAGGAAAGATCCTGACAACACTATATCAAATAACCAGGTTGCTATCCGAAAAGGAAGAGGTCAATGCAGATGAAACCAATGAAAGATAACGAAGTAAAGCTAGTTATCAAAAAGGAGAAACAAAGGGAACAATGAGCTGAGCAATTCGAAAAGCACTTGAATCGATCACCACCTGCACTTCGTCTAGAAATACCACCAGTAACTCAGCCACAGAACCATTAGTGAACACATTCCCAAATACAAAGGCAGAAGTGAAGTCCTGAACGCCATAAAGTTGCTGAAATCCAGGAAAGCAGCAGGACCAGTTGGAATTCCACCAGAAGCGCTGAAAACAGACACAGACACAACAGCGGATATGCTCATACAACCATTCAGGAAGGTTTGTAGGGTGAAAAAGGTACCTGCTGATCAATTGAAAGAAGGACTACCTTGTCAAACTCCCAAAGAAGTGTGACCTAAGTCCTTGCAGGGACTGCTGAGGAGTCACACCGTTGCCCACCCAAAGCAAAATATTAGACCGCATCATCCTGGAGAGACTAAAAGATGCGCTGGATTCTAGATTACGACCGGAACAGGCTGGCTAGCTTCAGGAAGAACAAATCATATGCGGACCAAATTGCAACACTACACTACGCATCCTCATAGAACAGAGTATACAACGGCAGTCAACTCTCTACCTCAACTTCATTGACTTTGAAAAGGACTTCGACAGTGCCGACCGACAAGTAATCTGGCAGGCAGCTGCTTCAACACTACGGTTTTAGTGCCACAAACCCTTATCAACCTCATTCAACAGCTATATAAAGACGCCACATGCCAAGTGATCCACAATGGAAAGCTCAGCTCAGTGATGCCTTTGAAGCGAAGTGACGACAGGAGTGAGACAAGGCTGCCGCCCACTACCACCGATCACCTTCCTGATTGTGGTCTGCTGGATCATGCAGAAAACCGTGAGGAGCGAGAAGATGGGCATACGCTAGCTGGGCCAATGAAAAGACCTAAGAAGATTTGGATTTTGCCACTGATGATTTATGTCTAATGTCGCACAAACTCGAAGGTCGACAGGCAAAAATCAACAAGTTGACAGAAGAGGCATCGAAAACGGGACTTCCTTCAGGTGAACGTAGAGAAGACGGAGGTCATGAAGATACACAACGAACAACAGCACCAACAACAAGCACTAATCATCATCAACGGGAGAAACCTAAAGGAAGTAGTCTCTCACCTACACCTACCTAGGCAGCATCGTTTCAACTACAGGCGGTGGCACAGATGAGGATATCAAACCAGCCAGGATCGGAAAGACAGCAAGAAGGCTTTCATTAATCTGAAATCAGTGTGGAGATCGACTGGACTCAGCATAAAAAACAAGGTCCGGACTTTCAGCATCAACGTCAATTCAGTGCTTCTGTATAGTTCTGAGACTTGATGTGTCACGTAAAGCATTTCCAACAAGCTACAGGCATTCATCAACAGCTGCATCCTACACTCACTCGACAATGAAGATCAGATGGCCAGAAAGAATAAGCTACAAGGAACTCTGGCTGGAGACGAACCAACCGAGAACCTTTCACCCAAAAAATATGCGAATGAAAGTGGAGATGGATTGGGCATACACTGAGAAGACCGATTAAGGACATCACGCGCCCGACCCACTAGTGGGATCTAAAGGGGAAATGACGAGTTGGGCGTCCGAGGTGAGGGTGACATGGAGGAGATCATGTTAGGAAGAAATGAAAGCTTGCGGGCAGTCGTGGAGCCAGGTTAAAAAGACTTCAGAGGGGAGAGTGGAATGGAGACGTGCTAATGAGGCCCTATGTTCCACTAGGAACCCAAGGGACATATAACAAATAAGTAATAACGCTATAACGTAGTAGAGAACAACAAATGTGAAGTGTTACGTCACAGTCGAAAATGACTACCGGTAGTGGTATGAATAAAAAGGGGCGTAAAACTAATAAC